ATGTATGTAATCAATAAGTACAAAGTCTTTGTTCTATGTATGTAATCAATAAGTACAAAGTCTTTGTTCCATGTATGTAATCAATAAGTACAAAATCCGTGTTCCATGTATGTAATCAATAAGTACAAAGTCTTTGTTCTATGTATGTAATCAATAAGTACAAAGTCTTTGTTCTATGTATGTAATCAATAAGTACAAAGTCTTTGTTCCATGTATGTAATCAATAAGTACAAAGTCTTTGTTCCATGTATGTAATCAATAAGTACAAAGTCTTTGTTCTATGTATGTAATCAATAAGTACAAAGTCTTTGTTCTATGTATGTAATCAATAAGTACAAAATCTGTGTTCCATGTATGTAATCAATAAGTACAAAGTCTTTGTTCTATGTATGTAATCAATAAGTACAAAGTCTTTGTTCCATGTATGTAATCAATAAGTACAAAGTCTTTGTTCTATGTATGTAATCAATAAGTACAAAGTCTTTGTTCCAGGTATGTTATCAATAAGTACAAAGTCTTTGTTCTATGTATGTAATCAATAAGTACAAAGTCTTTGTTCCAGGTATGTCATCAATAAGTACAAAGTCTTTGTTCTATGTATGTAATCAATAAGTACAAAGTCTTTGTTCCATGTATGTAATCAAAGTAAAAAGTAAAATATCAAGATAAGCATATCAAGAGAAACAACCGTATACTTGTACAGTAAAACCTCGTTATTCGGTCCAGAGATATTTTAGCGTTATAAAGGGGTTTGGCAATAGATTGAGGGAAATGTATAAAGAATATATTAAGAATACAAGGAAAAGGGACATTGGACATGTGGATTGTTAACGAGGTGGCAAATGAAACGATGGACAGTATATCGGGGTTTCACTGTATTCACTATAAACTACACATTTGTTTATAGGCAAAGCCTCGGGCTAGACATTTAAATATCTTACCCCTTGGGTTGAGATTTTTCTGTCTCGTCCCCAAGGCTATGAAAGATTATAGTAAACGTCTTCATAATGATTACCGAAACTGAATACCCCTTCCCCCGTTATTTCTTTGTTTAATGTCACAGGAAACGGCACAAATGTACTTTGCTTCGATCTATAGTTAAAAATGTAACATAAAAAAGAAAAGATGTTCGAATGGTTAGTCAGAATTCTATACAGGACATGAATGTTTCGATTGTGATGTTAACAAACGTTGATGGTATTGAAGTATCTACATATGCATCTCACTTCAGGTGCAGCACATGTATATTTAATGAGCTTCCAAATCAGTTAGGATTAATGTTGAGCGAGGCTTTGTCGGATCAAATCCACAATCCTGTTAACATACATTCAACCCCTATTGGATAATGGGCACGTGCGTGCAACAAACCATACACGTGCAATGCCCAACCCTTCCTTATATGACATAAGCTGTTGCTAGAATACAGAACTCCCCGTATTACACTTACAAATGAAAAAAAAAAGTTGTTTTTCACATGTCTTGGACGAGTTTGCTTTGTTGGGAACAAATTCTCAGGTCCCTGTGATGGCAGACAGTGATTGGTGATAGAACATCAAAGGAATTGTTTTCTCTGATCGTCATTAGTTTCAAAGACGCCAATTTGACGTCATGATCGAATCTCCTGTGACTTATTAAATAAGTTACATGTTATGGCAAATTGTATAACATGAGCATATTCACTGCAAAACATAGCTATCTGGTATAGCTGGTATAATGTATTTTACGGTTATAACTACAACATATATTCGCTCCGCACGTGTGGTGCATGTTGGTGTGCGGAGGGTTTCTTTTCACTCACCTGTTTGATGCTGCACACCTCTCACCAGTCTTCATACGCTTCAGTGAAAATAGTGCAGCTTTGTTAAGGCCTTTACGACTACCTGTTTCAGCTCTAGGGTGTAAGGAAGAACACGATGACGTTTCTTTGATAAGTGGCGGACATAATGATTTAGCAAGGGGAGGAATATTTTATATATATTTTGACTAGGTAAAGCACACCCTGTCGGTACACACCTTTCCGACGCGAGACAGGGCGATCATGGCATCCATTATAACAGAGACATGATTTTCGGGGGGTAACGCACTCTAATTATCCGTCGGTATCGCCGTGGCGTCTCCATGGGTTGAGAAGCGGAGTGACTTTGGAGTCTGTAGAATGCAGTTTTGTTGATAGGTCGTCTTCCCCTACCCGCCGATCAGCGTCCGTACCAAGTGACACCTAGGTGTGTATATAGCAGTAGGTGAAACAAACACGTCTCTCCACTATATCATACATTACTGAAGACTCTACTCCTCCTCCTCCCCCAATGTATAGACATGTCGACTTCAGTCTGCTTACCTAACCCAAGACAGGACTTGTTAACATCAATTACACATTTGGAATGGCATTGTAAATTTGTTAACTTTGCCAGTCTCAGGTGCGCACCAGAGAAATTTATCATAAAAGCTGACAATATTGAGTCTTTCAATCTTTGTTAAAACAAATTTTGGCCCTAGTTACTAGTACCAGTGTGGTTTACACGGGACTGAAGAGGGGCGTGTCTGGAAGAGGAGGAAAATGACGGGATGTTCAATGTAATTGGTGTGTCAGTACAAATGGTGTCTAGTCTGTTTTCTGCTTATTATTTTTCATATTATGGGAAGATTTTGATATATTTCATCAGCATGTTAATAATTTTGTCTAGAATAAATTCTGAAAATTGGAAAATTTCGTTAAAGTAAGGCACAGATGCAGGATTTTCAAACGGACTGGTGCGTCATGGGAAAAAATAACATAAACTCATTTTGTCTCATCTGCTCACAGCTCTTCCTTCCTTTCCCGTCTCTGGGTCGAACTCCCCCCCCCCCCCCCCCCCCCCCTCTCTCTGAAATGGTTATTTGGTATACAGTCGTGGTAGATAAATTTGAAGAAAATATCAGCTTCTTTAGCGATAAATATTTTGATTGGAAATGACCGAAAAGACGTTTGGAGACTGCCAATCTTTATTCATTCCCCTGATTAGGAGGATGGCGCCGGACTTTTCCTGTGGGGGTTCCCTTAAGGAAAACACCTCCGTCGCAATATTACTCTCCGCATTGCACATGTTAGAAGGCAATTTAAGCCTTACTGAAAAAATAAGGTTTTAATTAAAATTTCGGGAAAGTTACGAAAAATAAAATGTATAAAATACATCATTTGAATCAATTTCTCTTTAAATCTTATTTCTATAGAGAGTTTTGTTGTTTTTATTTAATAAACTGTATTTCTAATGGCGTTTCCCTTTGTAGTTCTGAACTTTTTACACATAGGTCTATTAAAACCCTGGAGTGAAAATTAAAAGAAATTCACTAAATTGTTTGCTTACTTTTAATTAATGCAAAATCAAAAATATTACATTTCTTGACTACAGAAACAGACGTCTCATCAAATCTAATATTTATAGATAGAGATATAGACGTTTTCTGTCTACACAATTCTTCACCGGAACGGAGATTTATAGAGCTTCTGGAACCAGCCATTACTGAACAGATTTTTTTGTTTTTATTAAATGCATTTTCGCAGGAATTTTATGTATCCTGGATGCAACACATTCTCGGTTACAGCCGACGCCAGGATGACGGGAAGGCTTGCACGAGAATGCACGTTCTTGGCAAGGAAAGCACCAAAACAAAACAATCGGCAGGAAATGGCGTCACTATTCATCAGGAATAAACGGAGGCTGAGCCTAGTCTAGTAAGAAAAGATCATTGATTGACCCTAGTATTAATGCACTTGCACTGATATGATTTTATATAATATACATAATTCTGAAAAGGAAATAATTGTTGTAATTATAACAGGAATAAAATATTACTGTCAGAAGTGGGATTCGAACCCACGCCTGGAGAACCAGACTGCGACCTGAACGCAGCGCCTTAGACCGCTCGGCCATCCTGACTTATAATGTTAGGAAAAACAATTTATAAAAATAAGCTTATCTCATTTTAAATTAATTAAATTATTGAAAAGTTGACAACAAACACCTCAGATACAACACTGAAACAAACAATCCTTTTAATCCTATTAGTGTTATACGAAACAAATGCTAAGTCATAACCCGGAATAACTGCACTACCAACAGTATCCTATTCTAAAAATATACGCGGTCTGATTGGCTTCATGACCAAAACGTCGTGAAAAGGGGATTTCCAACTTCCTTATACACATTAGTGAGGCCTACAGCAAGTTGGCAGCTTTTTTATCGATGGCGGGGAAGAAGAAACTCACTCAGGATTCCTATATACGGTCTTTACCATATTCTGCTTTGCGTTTCATGGCTATGCATTTGGATACAGATAATAGATGGAAACTATTCGCAACTTTCGTACCAAGAAAATTGACGCCGGGAGCTGAATTTCAAGAGAGATACTCCACGCTCCAGATTGATATGTTTGAAGTTAGGGGTAGACACCCTGGCGCTAGTCCTACACTTCTCATCCTCAACGATTGGGCCACACAGAACGCACAACTCAAACATTTACTCGAGGTAAACGTGCTGGGTTGGGAGGAGATTGTGTATATTGGAGGGTGGGTGGGGTTGTGCATGCTTGCTCTATTACATTTTCACATTGGTCTGTTTTGCCTAAAGATTTCTAATTTGCATGCCTTATGACGTCATAATACATAAGATGTGACGTAAATAACGTCACCATAGTCTTCAACACAGTTAAAGCCTTCAAATATTTTGACGAGAAGAGGTATACGAAGGGAAAAGCTATACTTTTAATCAAAACAGTTATGAAATATCTTGTAACAGAACAAATTTAAAATTTGGTCTGTGCGACGGACATCTCTTCAACTAAACTCATTAATCTGAGGCTAGTTGGTTATTTAGTGTAAATTTATTACATACACATGAAAATACCCATATCTTAACACTAATTTTAGTTAATGCAAGTAAATTGTTTTTTTTCTACAAGTGTACTTTGGTACATGTACAATTTACTGACGATCGTTGAAAGCCCTGGACCCTCTCATCCTGACCCAATGAACAATATAATAATATTTGGGCAGCGATTTGGAAGTTTATATTTGTTAACTCATTCACCCCTGAAATGTTATAATGGACTACTCAAACCTTTGTATTGGAAGATTTCAAATGTGTCTTCAGGGGTGAATGAGTTAAGGACCGAGTCTTAATTGTGTATCATGTAAATTGACATCATCTCAGCCGATACCCGTCATCTTTCTTTAACAACATTATAATCAGTTTCTTTAAGTTACCGAAAACTAACTATCACAACTAAGAAAAGCCATGTATTTCAATGTAAATCATTGTTACACACACACATTTGGAGCTGTTCGTATCAGTACAGCTTGTGTAACATAAACATATTTTTTTACATTTAAACACTTAGATTACTTGTTAATTAGTTCAATGTTTGAAGGTGGCGAAACTGCCTGCACCTTTTGTGATGAATGTACATATCGTAATCCTACCTTCGCTGATTTAGCATATTATTCAGGTTAGATACGTTGATCTGTTGGTGTTAATCATTTGTGTTATGTCTCCGTAATTTGAACGCTTAGAAGACAGATAGTTTTCGAGGTACAATAAAAACGTACAGGTGATTATACCTCACTCACCGCTAGGTGTCGCTAGGATAGCAAGAGGGTATAAATAGGCAGAATCCAGCGACAATCGGCCCAGTTCTGTTCTGATCTCGGCGTGTGCACAGCAGTGACAGATCGCAAGTATCTAATATATGCGAGACCGGCTTTGTGTTGGAAAGATAGAAGTGACTGAATAAGTCTTGCCTTGATCCACACACTGCATGGAAGATATGTTAAATAAA